TCACTAAGTGTCTCGCCTCTTTGTGACCCGATCCCGGATCTAACACTGGCGACGAAGGTGGGATCGTGAGGCGAGGACCAACTAGCACGTGGCACCGGTGACCAGCGCCTACAAGATGGCCAGTACCCTGCCACCCGCTCCATTCGACCCAGCGACCGAAGACTGGGAGTCCTATATTGACCGCTTCCAGATGTTTCTGGAATGCAGTAACCTCAAGGACGCCAACGGCCAGAGGAAGCGGGCAGTATTCCTAACGCACTGCGGGGCCGCGGTGTTCAAAATGGCCAAGGCACTCGCAAGGCCCGCTGACGTTAAGGAGATGGATTGGGCTGATCTCGAGCCCATCCTGCGCCGCCATTACGCCCCCACTGTGCCGATCCTCATCCGCAGGTATGACTTCTACCGCCAGGACCAGCGCGAAGGCGAGTCCATCAGTGATTTTGTGGCCCAGCTGCGGAACATGGGAGGCCCCTGCGAGTTCCCCGAGCTGGACCAGGCGATCCGGGACCGACTCGTCCTCGGACTCTGAGACCCCGTGCTGCAGAGCCGGCTGATGGCCAAAGGCAACATCTCCCTTGCCGATGCCCTCGCCGAGGCCACCGCCGCCGAGGCCACCCGCCAGTCCGCAGCACGGATGAGACAAACCAACGCGCCGGAACGGCCACCCACCAATGAGGCGACCCCAGCCGCCGCGAAGCCCCGGGACACCAGCCAGCGGGAGACGACTGCGCACCATGGCGACCTCAAATCCCAGCCTGATACCGAGGACGAGGAGATCCATCGGTTGCAGACCGAACGTGATCGCCGAGACCACCGGAGTTGTAAGTCGGGGTTCCGGTGCGCCGGTTGCGGCGGCGATCACCCCCGCTCCGAATGCCGCTTCCTCGACGCCATTTGCAGGCATTGCGAGAAGCGGGGGCACATCGCCAAGGTGTGCTGAAACAAGAAGAGCTACAGCCCGCAGCGCCGAGGCGACAGCCCACGACGACGGGACGGCACCCCACCCAGACACCGAGACCGACCCACGGAGAGCCGGTGGAGCCGCGACAACCGGAGCCGACAACTCAGCGGGGCGCAGCGGCGCGAAGAAACCCATCAGACGGTCGTCATCGGCCATTCATCAACCACCGACGCCCGGAAGGTACACGTGGCCTTGAGCATCGAGGACCGGCCCTGCGAGATGGAGGTGGACTCCGGGTCCTTCCTCTCAATGGTCTCATGGCGCACAATCAAGCGCCTGGTCCCGACCATCCGCCGCAACGAGCTGGACGACCAGAAGCTAATCCTGAAAGACTACCAGGGAAATCGCATCCCTGTAGTTGGCATCGGGCACTTCAAGGTAACGTTCAAGAACCACACTGACGTCCTGCCGCTCACGATAGTGGACCGGGACCGCCCCAGCTTGCTCGGCCTACAATGGTTCGCCCCGCTCGGCATCGAAGTAACCAGCATCCACCGCACGGACACGGCCGACTGGGAAGCGACCCTCGTGAGGGATTTCCAGGAAGTTTTCGACAACTCGCTAGGCAAGTACCGGGGGCCCCCTATATCGTTCAACCTTAACCCCAATGTCGCCCCTATCCGCCTAAAACCCCGGCGAGTGCCTTTTGCGCTCAAACCAAAAATCGACGAGCAACTAGACAAGCTCGTCGCGCAGGGGGTGCTTGAACCCATCGACCATGCCCGTTGGGAGACGCCCATAGTCACCCCCATCAAGCCCGATGGCTCCATTAGAATATGCGGGGACTATAAGGCCACCCTTAATCACGCGCTACAGCAAAGCGCCTACCCCGTCCCAGTGGTGCAGCACCTCCTGCACTCACTGGGGGGAGGCCGGGTCTTCGCAAAACTCGACTTGGCACAAGCCTACCAGCAACTGCCGGTCGACGCGGAGACAGCCGAAGCGCAAACGATTGTCACGCACCGGGGGGCCTTTCGTTGCAACCGACTCCAATTCGGAGTCAGCGTCGCCCCGGGAGTCTTCCAAAGCCTCATGGAGAGGCTCCTCCAGGGCATCAAGGGGGTGGTTCCCTACTTTGACGATGTGCTGATCGCAGCCGCCGACAGAGAACAATTGGAGATCCGTTTAAGGGCGGTGCTTAACAAATTCAAAAACGCCGGCCTTAAAGTCAAAAGGGACAAATGCCAACTACACACCGAGAGGGTCGAGTTCCTGGGCTACCTTCTGGACCGGCACGGAATACACCCGACCGGGAAGAAACTCAGGGCCATCAAGGAAGCCCCCACACCAACCAACAAGGCGGAGCTACAAGCATTTCTGGGGTTGCTTAACTTTTACAATGTTTTCCTACCCCAAAAGGCGACCGTGGCGGAACCCCTACACCGGCTACTCGATAAGGCGGCCACCTGGACCTGGGGGAAGCGGGAAGAGACTGCGTTCCAACGAACCAAGGACTTGCTAACATCAGACGCAGTCTTGATTCAGTACAGCGAAACCCTCCCGCTCTCAGTAACATGCGACGCCTCACCCTTCGGTATAGGAGCAGTCCTCAGCCACACCCTACCCGACGGGACGGAAGCACCCATCGCCTTCTTCTCCCGGACACTAGCAAAACCGGAAAGAAACTACAGTCAACTAGACAAAGAAGCCCTCGCCATCGTCGCCGGAGTTAAAAGGTTCCACGAATACCTTTACGGCAGGAACTTCTCAATCATAACGGACCACAAGCCCCTGCTCGGAATACTCGCAGGGAACAAGGCCACCCCGAACATCCTATCGCCCCGGATGACAAGGTGGTCCGAGTTCCTTGCAGCATACTCCTACGAGCTGTCACACCGACCCGGTAAGGCCATCCTACACGCAGACGCACTAAGCCGGGCACCGCTACCGGACGTAGATGACGACCCGGCACCCACAACGACGACCCTACAGATCGAGACCATGCCGTGCCCGCTCTTAACCGCGCCAGACATTGCCCATGAAACAAATAAAGACAAACGGCTGGCGTGGGTACTGAGCTGGGTAGAGCAGGGATGGCCAGAAGTCGAAGGTAACGAATATTTCAGACCCTTCAGAAACCGCCAAACTGAGCTGTTCTCACAAAAGGGCTGCATTCTCTGGGGCGACCGGGTGGTCATACCGGAAACACTGCGAGACAGAGTGTTGGCATTGCTGCACGAGGGACACCCAGGGGTCGTCAAGATGAAAGCCCTGGCCAGGAGCTATGCTTGGTGGCCGGGGACAGACAAACAAATAGAAACTTGGGTCGCTGTGTGCAGCAAGTGCCAAGAGTCAAGAGCCAACCCCCCTGCCGCCCCGATCCGAGAGTGGGAAACCCCGAGAGGACCATGGTCGCGATTGCACATAGACTTCGCCGGACCAACCAAGGGGTATACGTTCCTCATCACCGTAGACGCTTACTCCAACTGGTTGGAAGTAAGCACCATGAGAACAACAACGACTGAGGCGGTCATCGACAAGCTCAACAGACTCTTCGCAACGCACGGGTTACCGGACGTCATAGTGTCGGACAACGGGCCCCAGTTCACGGCGATACTGTTTGAAAAATACCTGGCCGAACGGGGCATCAGACACGCCTTAACCTCGACGGCTCACCCGGCGGCGAATGGTAGGGCGGAACGAATGGTCCAATACACAAAAAAGGCCATTCAGAAAATCGAAACCGGCGACATCCAGGAAAAAATAAACAGACTACTGTTTATACAACACATCACGCCAAGCACAACAACGAACAAGAGCCCAGCGGAACTACTGATGGGGAGGAAACTAAGATCCCCATTAGACTGCCTACACCCCACCTACAACCCAGAGAAACCCCCGGACTCCTCCAGCAGGTACCGGACATTCAACATCGGGGATGCCGTCTACGCGAAAAACTTCACGGGAGACCCCCTCTGGGTACCTGCACAAATAACGCAGGTAACTGGGCCCCGATCATACAGACTACAAACAACAGACGGAAGGAGCTGGAAGCGGCACATCGACCAGCTACGGTCCAGACTAGCCACCAACACCCCCATCGACCCAGCAACAACGGCGGCCCAAGAAAGCAGAGAGGGAGGGGAAGCCTCAACCACCAACCCAGAAACCAACAAAAGACCGGAACCAACCAGGACACACACCCCAGCACAAGCCGAACACCACCCACCAGATGACAGCAACGACCAAGCAAACCAACCAGACTCACCTACAGACCTCGACGCGTCGCAGACGGGTTCTTCACCTGGGAGGTGCAGCCAAGCCAGCTCAACCAGCCCGGGGAAACAGAGCGGGAGCAACAGAAACCACAACTCGACCGGCCCAGGACACCCGGACGGGAGTTGCGGCGCCAGGCCCGGCTCACCTCACCAGGCGGTTCCATCGACGGAGTGGAGAGCGACGCGGAGCCCGTCCGAACCGGCCAGCGACCTCACACAGACTGAACCGCGCAGGTCGACCAGGCAAACTCGAAGCCCCACCTACCTGCGCGACTACGTCACGACGCGGCGTCAGACGAAACCATGAGGGGAGGGGTGTTCTGTATTAGCATTCTTGGAAAACCCGCACCCTGATTGGCCCACCTGAACCGAAGCCCGATTGG